TCTTCTGTAAACTTCTGATCTCCCCATCCCTTGAAAGAGGAAATGTCTGAAATGCAGCCTGGGTGACAACCGTGGCTCCCTCCATAGATATATGGGAGGAGTTAGCATAACCATATTAGTACAGGAAGCGTGTTATTTGCAAGATTAAAAGGTGACAATAAAGTAAAAAGAAATAAAGGGCAAAAGCCTGAAAAAAACAAATGCAGTCACCACATCTAAAGACTGTTTTGAAAATACTGTTTAAATGCTTTCAGCCAAGGAAAATAAACAATCCCTTTTGCATGCAATGGTGCTTATTATGAGTCACGGCTACAATAGATGAACAGCGGTGGTTTTAAAAACGGAGGGTGCTTAGATCTTTTGTTACATTTAATAATAGAGACTAAAAGTACCTGAAAAGATCTCCTGGTTTATTGCTCCGGACTAATGTACAGTATATTTTTATGCCTTTTGCTCACATCTCTGAACACATTTTTATATTCTGTAACAAAGTAATTGTTTGCAGTTGCAGCTATGAACAGGATTAGCTTGTGCAATGAATTGCACCATAAAAAGTATATTGATTACCTAAAAGAGGAACTCCAGCCAAAACCTTTTTTAGCTAGAATGAGGAAGTGTGTTTACTGGCTGTGTTGCTGCAAGCGAAATTTCCTCTAACTTCTTGCCCTGATGACCAGTTGTCACTGGAACAGGAAATTAAATAAAGTCTCTCCAGTGGGGCCCTGGAACAGGAAATTAGATAAAGTCTCTCCAGTGGGACCCTTTGCAGTTATAGTATTTAGTAGAATTGGAAAGGATTAGAATTTCTGTCTGTGTTTTGATATTCCCCCTGCCTTCCTATTTTGGTGATATACACTGTGGTCAATGGGACACAAACTGAAGTGAAATCCTCTCAATTTAGCAGAGGTCTTAACTATTCCTTGTGGCTTAGGGACATGGTTTTCATGGGCATTAAAGAAAATGGAACCCTGTGTTAGAGGGGTCCGTGCCATGTTCCCACCCCTTCTTTACTGTCCAGTATTAATTCTTACTCTCATGCAGAACATTCACTACACAGTTTTGCAGGGAAGGTATACAGTTACAACTCATGCATACTCCATACTTGGTCTCGGTCTAATGCACCTCTGATGCTTGCTCTTGGTCTACTGAATCTCTGAAGCTTGCTCTTGGTCTAATGCATACCTGACACTTGGTCTTGGTCTACTGCAATCCCTGTTGCTTGGTCCAATGCATCCATGATGCTTTGCTCTTGGTCTAATTTATTCCCAAAGCTTGTTTTGTTTTTAACACATCACCAATGCTTATTCTTGATCTGATGCATTCCCGATGCTTGCTCTTGGTCTAGTACATCTCCAACGCTTGCTCTTGGTCTATTGCATTCTCTATGCTTGTTCTTGGTCTAACATATCCCCAACGATTGTTCTTGGTTTTAGGAATCCCTGAGGCTTGCTCTTGGTCTAATGTACCCCCGATACTTCATCTAATGTATCCCCGACGCTTGGTCTAATGCATCCTTGACTCTTGCTATGCCTTGGTCTGATGTATCCCCGATGTTTGGTCTTGGTCTAACGCATCCCCAACATTCAGTCTTGGTCTAATGTGTCCCAAACTCTTGTTTTTGACAAATGCATCCATGACACTTGGTCTTGGCTTAATTTGTTCCTAACGCCTGGTCTTGGCCTGATTCAGCCCTGATGCTTGGCCTTTGTCTAATCATGAATCCCTGACAAATGGTTTTGGTCTAATATATGCCTGACACTTGGCCTAATAATTTATCAAATGTGCTGTTCATCTGATCAGTAATATTTCACACAGTTCTACATTGAATCCTTTTCAGAAAGCTCAATTCCATATCCATTAGTGTATTCTGTACTGCAACGATCAACCATGGGGCCATAAATATTTCCTGAGGTTAACCATTTGATCAGATTATTTTAATCAATCGAGTATCTGAATTGAGTATTCCGTGCAATTCAAATGGTAAATTTGTCTGCATCAGTCTGATCACTTTCAATGGCAAAAGGTTAGAGAATGTTTGAGAGTCAATTGATCGCTCCATACACCATGTGATCACTTTTAAAATGAATGGAATTTTTAGCTCATCCAATAGCTTTTATATTTAATTTATTTCCACAAAATCACACAAATGCCATCAAAATAGTAGTGAAGAAACATATCTATGACTAGTGTAAGCTTTATTCCTGGTCAGTGAAAGGGGGAGCACAGTAAACCAGGTACACATTTAAGTCCCATTCCCACCTTAGCATGAGCATAGGCTTTTTTTCATGCATTTTTATGCATGTAGTACAGGAACAGAATTATGCATTTTAGTCCCATAGACTTTTAAATGTAAGTGCCTAAAAAAAACGACATAAACACGTGTTTTTTAGGCACTCCCATTAGGCTTTGTTTACACCTAAGCGTCAGTGTAACAAGTGTTTTTTAGGCTTTTTTCTAAGTGTTTATGAGCATTTTCCCAAACATTTTGTTACACGTTTTTCAGCTTGTGCTGTCCTCCCTTTTGTTCCCCAGTGGTTTTGCAGAGGAAGGCTGGCTCTTGCATGACAAATGCGTGACAAAACAATAAAAAGGCACAAAAACATGTTTTTTTTGTTGTGTTTTGCTACAGGCGACATAACGCTCAGGTGTGAACAGGGGCCATAGAAAACAATTGGATTCAAACAAGAGTACAAATATATATATATATGTATATAAATAAATATATATATTGTAAGGTTTAGCTTAAAATGGTAGTGCATTAAGGACTCTTCCACTCGCTTATTACTTCTTTTTAAGGGCTTCTGTGCCCACTTTTATTGAATCCAACTCAAAAGTCCACACAGGTTTTCCCTCACAGGCATTTTCAAACATAACATACAGCTTTTCTTCAAATAACACTTTCAAAGTCTTACCGACTTTAGGTTGTCTGTTTACAATACAGGCTGTATCCAGACCGCCTGCCACACTGGTTAATCTTTTGCCACACAGGCTGCTTTTCAACACACAGGTCATACGCTCCTTAGTCTGCCAGACACAGACTAGTTCCAGGGTGGAGCCCTCCTGACTCCTGCACAGAGACCTCCTCTGTCTCCCAGGTGGAACCCTGAACCAGTATTCTTGTCATAAGGGCTGTGTACAGGTGCACCATCATTTGGTGCTGTGTTCACCACTAAAGCCCGGACCCAGGAATGGAGATTTCATCCCTCCCAGTTCTCTTAGAAATCTCCCTGTTCCAGGATCCCAGTTATAATTTAGAAAACCCGGAAAGAATTGTACAACCAGCTCTTTCCTGAAAAAAGTACTTCCGCCTCTGGCAGAGAGTCCTGGGTGACCATTTTGCCACTCTACATAGTGACATTGCCACGCACTGTCACAATATATATATATACACTATGTTACCAAAAGTATTGGGACGCCTGCCTTTGCACGCACATGAACCTTAATGGCATCCCAGTCTTAGTACGTAGGATTCAATATTGAGTTGTCCCACCCTGTGCCGCTATAACAGCTTTAACTCTTCTGGGAAGGCATCCACAAGGTTTAGGAGTGTGTCTGTGGGAATGTTTGACCATTCTTCCAGAAACGCATTTGTGAGGTCAGGTACTGGCTCGCAGTCTTCGCTCTAATTCATCCCAAAGGTGTTCTATCGGGTTGAGGTCAGGACTCTGTGCAGGCCAGTCAAGTTCCTCCACCCCAAACCCGGTCATCCATGTCTTTATGGACCTTGCTTTGTGCATTGGTGCGCAGTCATGTTGGAACAGGAAGCTTAAAATGGTAGCGCAAACTGTTCCCACAAAGTTGGGAGCATGAAATTGTCCAAAATGTTTTGGTATGCTGATGCCTTAAGAGATCCCTTCACTGGATCTAAGGGGCCAAGCCAAGCCCCTGAAAAACAACCCCACACCATAATCCCCCCTCCACCAAACTTTACACTTGGCACAGTGCAGTCAGGCAAGTACCGACACGTCCATCGGATTGCCAGACAGAGAAGCGTGATTCGTCACTCCAGATAATACGTCTCCACTTCTCCAGAGTCCAGTGGTGGCGTGCTTTACACCACTGCATCCGAGTTTGGAGCTCTGTAGCTATTGACTCTGCAGACAGTTGCCGACTTCTGCGCACTTCAGCATGCGCTGATCCCGCTCTGTCATTTTATGTGGCCTACTACTTCGTGGCTGAGTTGCAGTTGTTCCCAGTTGATTCCTCTTTGTTATAATACCACTAACAGTTGACCGTGGAATATTTAGTAGCAAGGAAATTTAATGGAACCCCTGAATCAAATGATTTGGAGAGGTGTCCCAATACTTTTGGTAATATAGTGCAGGGGTCTTGAGTCATCCCGGATTCCCATCTCTTCAACTAAATTAGAAGAAAAAAAACCAAGCTAAAGTTTTTGTTTGAAATTGCACTTAGTAATTCCTATCTTTATAAATAATAGGCAAAGGGAGATATATGAAACTGTATTTATAGCTCACATGCCCCCACCTAGTCTATCGATTAGTTAGAGGCATGGCTCATTAGCTGCACAGATCTCCAGGCTGACAGACAGCAGAGCACAGATCTGCATAGCTCACAATGCAGTTGACTTGGAATGCTCTCCCTGGTATTACCAATTACTGCATCCTGTGCCAGCCCTGCAAAGACGTATGAGGTCACTGTGTGCCCAGTAAATCGTGAGCTCACCAGCAGTAGCAGCAGCATGTGTGGATGACTGCTGGGAAGTGACAGCAGCGGCGAGGTGGCTCCTCATCCACCTGCTCCCTCTCCTCCCCCCCTCCTCTGCCCTGGAATCCTGGGCTCTGGCACATGAGGAAGGCTTGCCCTGTATGAGAACAGTGCTCCGCCTGATCACTCCCTTATCTCAGTGTCAGTGTGACAGCAGCAGCAGGCAAGGCTCGGGGGGTGCAGCTGTCCAAGTAACCTTGTACTGGGCTCAGCTGGTGCTGGAAGGAGGGGAAGCCTCGCACCTCTCTATCTACACCCACCATCCAGGCTGCAGCATGCCTGTACTATGGGCTACATTGCTCTCTCTCGCCTGTCTCCTATCTAGGGACACAGTCAGGGGCTTCAATCTGGATGTCACACACACCCTTATCAAGGATGGAGACAAAGGCAGTTTATTTGGATTCTCAGTAGCGCTTCACAAGCAGCTCAGTCCGGAGCCACTGAGTTGGTGAGTACAGCGATCTGTCCTGTTTTGCACAACGATCTGGTGGTATATACAGCGGTCTGTCCTGTACAGCGATCTGTTCTATAAAGCGATTTGTCCTGTACAGCGATCTGTTCTGTACAGCGATCTGTTCTGCACAGCGATCTGTCCTGTTCTAAACAGGGACCTGTTCTGCACAACGATCTGTTCTGCACAGCGATATGTCCTGTACAGCGATCTGTTCTGCACAGTGATTTGTCCTGTTCTAAACAGGGACCTGTTTGGCACAGCGATCTGTCATGTACTACACTCCAAGTTTAGACAGAGGTGACATGGGTGACTTGTGACTGCTGTACATGGCACATGCACACATTATGTTTGCTTCCAGGAAGGGGGTAATGTACAGGGTCATTTTCTCTGCACATTAGCTCCCCTACCAGAACTTTTGACAGCTAATGACACGCAGTGGCAGCATATATTTGGAAATGGCTTTGGCTATAGCAGTCACATGTGTTTCCCAAACCCCTTCCTCCCCATGATGTACCTTGTTTATGCATGCCAAAAACATGCTTAGGACACCTTTTCCCTCATCTTGTGCTTCCTTTCTTAAAGTGACACTAAACTCAGGATTTAAGCCTTAAAAATACATTCAAGTACCCGAACTATTAACAAAAATGTAACTTATTTGTGTATGACACAGCTGTAGATCCTCAAATCATCTCTGAAATCATGCAGACACTGTCCTTCCTTCTGGAGGGTGTCCACTTTTGGTCCCCATGGTCCCTGTGTGTGTTTTAAAGTAGTCACCGTTCCAAGCTCTCTCTTATGTTGGACTACAATCTCATCGGTAGTTTACTAATTTGTATTGAGATTGTAGTCCATTACAGGAGCGAGTTTGGAGCGGTGACTACTTTAAAACCCACACAGGGACCATGTGGAAAAAAAGTAGACACCCTCCAGAAGGAAGGACAGTGTCTGCACCAATTCAGAGATGATTTGAGGATCTACTGCCAAGTGATACACAAATATGATACATTTTTGTTACTAGTTAAAGTACTTGAATGCATTTTTTAGATTTAACTCCTGTGTTTAGTGTCACTTTAAACTTATTGTGATGTGCAGAAGTAAACTTGGACCCAGATAAACAGTATATCTTCCTCAGTCAGCTTAATATACAGGGCTATTGGAATGCATAAATTTGGTAGGAGATTGATCCAGGAATTCATCCCACCACCAGTATGGGGTCAGGATGGAATTGTTTTTAACCTTCCTACAGCAAATTGTCCTATGCTTGTAGGGATTTCTTTCTTCTTTTGACTCAAGCACATAACATTCACATTCTTAGGGTCCACTAACACCTAAGCATAGTGTAATCGCATGACACCGTGTTATTACCACGTGCTAACACACCTAGTATTCGTAACGGTGTGCTACTTGCATTGCTATTCATTTGAATGGCACCTCAATGCACCTCCTGGCTGCTGTGCAATGCCATGCAGCAAAAAGCACGGTACTGTAATACCTTTCATTGCGGTGCAAAAAAATAGTGCATGCACAGTATTGGGGTACTGCACGGTGGTCAGGAAGTGCTTTGGGGTTCCATAAAATAAATGGCAACGGAACACACCTAGCTCACGGTAACGCACGCCAAGTGCATTGTTCAATAGCATACGTTAATCGTACATTTTCATGCGATTAACAATATGCTTAGGTGTGAACAGGCCCTCACACCACAAGTTGAACTTGATGGACCTGTATCTTTTTTTCAACCTTATATACTATGTAACTATATCATATTGAGTTTATTAAGGCTATCCGCTTCATTTGTTCATTGTACTATTGTTTTTAGTGGAAATTGTAACATGGTAGAATAATAGAATATTAACACCTCTCAAGACACAAGTAACTTTTTCATTCTGCATATAAAGCATTTTGATTATCCTGTTAGGTATAGAGGAACATGTGACAATTGTTGGTGCATATTGTATGGGAACTGATGAGGAATGGTCAGCCTGCCTCATATAGGGTACCTAACGTCTCCACAAGGCTGCAGATCTGGTCTGCATTTGGTGTGAACAAGCCCTGAGGAAACCAGATTGTGTTCGTAAATTAGTTTGCTTTTATTCTGAGTAAAAATAGAACAATGTTTTATGTTATTACCATTCTGTTGTGTTTTTAATACATGTAAAGGAAATGTTTGAACCTGTGTTTCATAATCATACATATGCTTTGCTCTTTGTAAAAAGTTACTCATTAAAACAAGTTCTCTCTTTGGTGAAGTATCAACAAGGCATTGGGTGTACTACTTATGTTACAGGAAGCCCATGTTCAGAGAAATATGGAAACTGCTGACCTCCTGCTGAAAATCATAGTTGTCTGGCTCTTATGCTGGTCCCTCTAGGTTACAGAACTGGAACAAGTTTGCGGATAAATTCAGAATTCATTCTGAGTCACTATCCTGCTACCTGTTTTGGGTCACTGACCCACAAGGCATTGAAGCCTTTTGCTTCAGCATGTCAACCAGGAAACTAGTATTTTCAGATGGAGAGGTCAGCAGAGACACCCCAGATAATTCTCTCAGGCTGGGCAGCTATGGACATATAGGTTCTCCACCATGCTTATGTCAGCCTAAATGTCCTTAGAGTAGATGTGTCAGAAAAAACAACTGAGCTGGTATAATATCAACGACTCAAAGATGGGTCACAATCCCGTGTTCAGTGGGTCGGAGTGTGCCATCCACTGCGTGAGGTGAGAAACTCCTCAGCCTCCCTCAAGTGTAGCATTGTTATTTCTCATGCCGAACAGCCATTCAAAATATGCTGCCAGACGCCGAGTGTCAGCTTGAGGTGGGTTGGGCTGGGGGTTATGGCCGCGAGGGAGCTCCATCCATGCATGCATTACTTATATAGCCCTTGCGTGCCCTGTAGCGGTGGCTGGACTGAAGTGACGGCACATTCTGGCTCTCAGCACCTCTACAGAGCGCACAAGGGTGCTGTACAAACAATGCACATATGGATGGACCTCTGTCACAGCGCAGCAGCCCACACTGAGATTAATTCCAGTCCTCGTAAGGTAGGGAGACTGGGTGGATCTTTAAAAAACTAAGTAAGTTAAGAGTGTGTATATGGGTGTATAAGAATATCTGTGAGTGTGTGAGATTGTGTCTGTGGTTGGTTTTGTACGTCTGTGTTTTTGAGGGCCCGTTCACACTAGTATAGTTAATTAATCACACAGTGCCATGCGATTAATGCACTGCACCACGCAATTGCACCTACCGTGCATTCTGGTGGGAGCTGCGTTGCATTGTCACTCATTTGAATGGCACCTCACATGCACCTCCCGCCCACATTTCAATCACCCGCACCGAAAAGCGCAGTACTGCAATGCCATACATTCCAGTGCATGCAACTTGGGTCGCGACTTAATGACCAAGGACAAATGTGGGTCCTGAGGTTACACAGGTTGAGAACCACTGCTCTAACCCATTCCCCCCAAGCTGCAAAGCTGCTACACTTCCTGGAAGTGTCATAGTATTATGAACCCTGCACATTCCTTTTGGCCAGTGAGGCAGCCTTTTTTATTGATGGGCCAGTAGGAATTTGTAGGAGGACAGAGGGAGTGGAAGTGGGTAGACAGGCTTTGCCTCCACCAGGAAGTGTCCAAGGTTTGTAGATCAGCACTTCTACCATCCTGCATAGTGTCACCATATGCGTCACCAGTTTTGGTTTCTGGCAGGTGTATTTTTCGGAACAGGTGGGTGTTTTATTACCCTGCTCTCAAAACTGCTGACCACTGCTGACAAGCAACAAGTGCTGCTCACCACCAGTGCCTCCAAAGAAGGTGGTGCAGAATTTGAGAGGGTTTATGTACAACCTACCTGCCCCTTCATAATAGAGAGGGAGGTTGCTATTCCTTCCTACCGGTTAGCACAATCACCACAGAGCAATTTACAGGTTAAAAGCTTAGATGTTCAATTCACTCATCTGTTGCCCCTGCACAATCCAGACAACAATAGGGAGATCAGTTATTCCCCAATGGTCTCGGGGAGGGATCTGCATATATTTCGACCCCTTGTCTCTATTAACCAGACCTTTTCTCATTTTACACATCATATAAGCATCAGATGATATTGACTGACTGCTGTGGATTACCGCATATTGCTTTTTTCATTATTGATTGAGCTGGTTTATTTTAGCACTGGACTATTGATGCTGTGGACCTTTGCTATAAGAAAGCCTGTAAATGTATTGCTTGCTATTACTATATAACTAGTTTTAGGTAAACGTTACCAGGATTGTAGAGTGGGATTGTTTGCACTTTCTGCATTCAATTGAACAGACTGTCTCTCTCTCTCTCTCTCTCTCTCTCTCTCTCCCTCTCTCTCTACTTCCTTAGATGTACACTTTGCAATGCACACAGCAACCATTTCAAACTTTGGAATGTTCCATGTGTCGATAGAGCAAGCATGTACATCAGAATTAGAATGTATGTAGCTATCCTGGTTTCCATAATATGGCATCAGATACCAGTATGTTTACAGGAACATTGCAGTAACAAGATTTATCTTATTTACATGCATACTGTCTAAGTTCAGCTATGTTATCTTCAAATTATTTCTGGAATGCCACTCTAAGGCTAGGTTAACACCTAGGCGATTGAGCTGGTGAGCTGTTTTCATGCGGTTATCACGTGTTTTTGCTTGCACGATTTTGCTTAGAAAATTGCAAGTTTTTTGCGCAATTTTCAATGCATAGAGATGTCTATGGGACCCAAATCACGCGACAACCGCCTGAAAATAGCTCTTGCGCCTTTTTGGGCAACAGGCGTTTTTCTACCACGTGACAAATCGCAAAGGTGTGAACAGCTGCCATAGGCTTGAATGCAAATCTCTGTTTTGTGCGATATTGCAGCGTGATAAACCGCCTTGGTGTGAACCTAGCCTGAAAATGAAGATTGTTGCACAGAAGGTGTTAATGCAGTTGTGTGAAAGTCTGACCATACATAGATTAAATTGATTCCAACAC